AGCACACGTGGTCAGCTACAGGGGATCCCGTCTGGGCAACTGACTTACAAAGCAGAGGCCCCCTTCTGAAAAGGCCCAGGCACCCCTAGAGCTTCATCACCTCACTTCGCAAACTCCCTTCAGCTCAGAAAGGCTCTCAATTAGACATGGAAAATCACCAAGTGGCATTAAAAGCCGTCTCCCTGGCATGTCCCCAGCTGAACTCCTATTTTTCTTTTCCCTGGGAGATCAAAGCTATTGTGTCAACACTCTGCCCCAATCCAAGTGACCTTAAGCAGGCTGCTTATGCAACCTGGCGGCTGCGACTGGGGATGCCGGGGGCCGGCGGGAGTTCCCACCGGCTCGCGCAGGTCGTCCTCAGGATCCCAGACGCCGCCGCCCGGCGACCTTTTGGGTCCGGTTCCCTCGGGGCTTACGATGAAAACCAGCACCTGGGTGTGTGTCTGCGTCGTGTGTGTTTTATATCGGGGGGTCCCCAGCAGTTCACCCAAAGTAGTAAATTACATCCAAGACTACAGCAGTCACGTGCCACCGGTTTTGTTTCATCGATCCCCGGTGCTCCCTTAGCTCCAGTGTTTTAAGGGACGCTAGTTCACTTCCAAACACCCTAAGTGTATATCTAATAGATGACTTTAGAAAGCATAGTCACATCACATTTAGTAAAATGAATTCCTTCTAATTCCTAGTCCATACTTAGCTTTTCACAATTGTCTCGTCCTTTTACAGTTGAGTTGTGGCGTCTAGGGCCAAACCAAGGTCCACCTGTTGAATCTGGATTGTGTGTTTAAGTCTCTTACTTGAGAGGTTTAAAATTAGCTAACACCACACATCTAGATGCTATGAGGCAGCCTGGATGGGCACACAGTCACCTGGTAATTGATGCCCTTTGGTTTACAATGGCATCAGAAAATGTTTGCTGTCACCTACCACCTGCTCAGATGTGCAGAGAGGCCTTTGCTGTCACCTACCACCTGCTCAGATGTGCAGAGAGGCGGGAGTGTGGGGAGTGTTACAAAGCATAAGCCTGCCTTTAACCCACTAATAATTTATGGACACAGAAAAACCGGATGTTCTGATCCTTTGGAACTCGAACTAGTGAAGACTCCAGCGCAAGCATCTCAGGATAATCTCTCCTCCTTGGCACTTCTTAAGACCTGGTTGTGGAGGGCCTCGAGTACCATGCCAAGGAATTTGAGATGTATCCTGAAAACTCTGGGGAATAATTGATGTGAAATCATGATGCTCCTTCCACCTGACTCTTCCCCTTTTCCTCAGATCCTATCCCAAAATGCCACTCTTCCAGTGCCGTCTTCCTGGATTCCACAGCCTGTGAACACTGCTGTTGCATTTGAGTTCTCACTGCCCTTGGCTTGTGCCTTTTGCAGACAGGTCTGATGTGCGACTTGATTGGTGCTTTGGTGTGAGTCTGAACTCCATCACTAGGCTGCAGGTTTCTCAGGGGAAATTCTGAGCCCCACGAGGTCTGGTTTTGAATGCATTAAAGGCCTCACTAATCTCAACCTCCTACTTCCTTTTCACATTTTGAGACGTTCATAAGAGGCAGTAGAAAGGGGTGGTAGAGTTAGGCTGTGTGGTTTGGTAGCGTGGCTCTGCCATTTATTAACATCGTGACTGTGAGCAAGTTACTTTTCTGAGGCTGTTTCATCACACGTAAAATGAAATTTAATAGTATTTATATCATTGGCTTGTTTTGAGGATTAATATATGCAGAACACTTAGAATCAGAGGTAAAACTAAGTAAGAGCCATTGTCTTGTGCCCATTTGCCTATAGGCTGTCTCCACGTCTCTGTTCATTGTCTTTATTCATTTCAGTTCCTGGCTTCAGTGGTGGGGGTTCCCCAATTTCCTCAGCCACCTGTGTGGACTGCCCCTCAGCCCTTTTTCATGATCTCACCTCTCTCAATTTTCCTGCTTGGCCTTTACCATATTCTCTTCCTCCATCAATTCCTGCTCAAGGTGAGTATATGAACTGAAAACTTGTGTTTTTTTTTAAACTTGTCTTTATTGCAACCTTCATATGGTTTATTTTCTTTCTGCCCATGAAGAGTCACAAAGAGCTGGACTTTTCTATTCATTTCAGTTTTACTCAATTTTTCTTTTTCCTTTTTTTTTTTTTTGCAAGGTGAGGGGGAAAACCCTCACGTGGTTCAGTTGTAGCTTCTGATAATCTAGTAAAGAATAGCTGGATAAATTCCCTCCCTAGCTTATTTTTTACCTGACTCTAAACCGGTCAACCACAGTTCATACTTTTATTTTATTTTCACTGATTTACAACGTTTTCTCCATTCCTGAGTGTTGATCACAGTCGGCATTGTTACTCGCTAATTTTATGGGTCAGTAAGTTATTTCAGAACCTTCCGTGTGCTTCGGCTGACACATTCTCCTCCCTGTCATCACATACTGAGTCAAAGCTGTGTCAGGGCGAGCGCTGTAACATTTCAGTCCCTGACTGTGTTTTTGAGGTAGCTCACTTATTTTAGCTCCAGATTTAGCTAATGCCATGAAGGGAACAAGATCTTTATCTCATTTCATGGTTCAGGCACCAAAGTGCTGAGTCACAGTGCATCTGAGGGCTGCTCTCACTAGGCCAATGATTTAAAAGTTCGAGGCTGGAGTGACTTCGGATTTCTGCTGAGCGTTGGGCTTCTGTTTTTGTTCAATTCCTTTTTAAAAATTTGGTATACTTGTGTAATTGTGTGGGGTCGAGGTGGGGAGGAGGTGGAGAAGGACTAGGGAGGGAGTGTGTGAACTGCAGTGTTTTTAAGGACGTTCACACTGTTCACAACTAATTAAATCAGTTCTTTAGACGGCCTTGTGTCTGTGATTCTGGCAGGCGGCCATCACTTTGTAACATGTAACTAGTTTTGGGTGTCCAGAGCAGATAATACCATTTAAAGTATATTTTAGGGGTTACAGAAGAAGGTGCTAGCGGTTCTTGTCCTGAGAGTATTACCGCCATAGAATTGATGATTGTTGGTACTCTGGGAAGAAAAAATTGTGGGGTTCGGATCACCGGATAATCTCTAAAATCCTTGCAGGTCCTAAACTCGATTGTTCAGTGATGGGGCATCTTGGTTGTATATGGCATATACATCCACATGCTGGTGTACACATACGTAATGTATACACAAGTACATGTATACACATATGGCATATACATACATATGCACGTATATTCGTGTATATACATGTACATACATATGTGGTGTATATGGTTGTATATGATATATACACATGTGTACATGCATGTGCATATTGTACATGGTATACACACATGTATGTGAATACATATATGTCCACGAATATACATATACATACACATATGGTGTATATGGTTGCATACGGTGTATAGACCCACTGCTAACCTGTTAAACCCTTGTCATGTCAAACCCTTTCATGGCAGTTGGCACATTGCAAAGGTTCAGTTTGCTTATAAATTGCCATGGTATAGGAAGCAGAGACACTGGCCGGATAAGTGTAGCTGTCTAACCATTCGTGTGGGGAAGGAATAGT